TTTTTCAGGGAAAATCAAAATTTTCTGGTGGAGCCTGGAAGCGACTGTCCTCGGATCAGATCCGCAACCAGGCCAAAATTACCTGCTTTTTACGTGCTTTTTTTCTGCGCAAAAAAAAATTTTCTGCTACAATAATTTTTCCGGAAAATCGATTTTCATGATTGGAGCATCAAGTCAGGCGGCCACATTACCTAGATCAGATCGATGACTGCACTAAAGTCAAGAGCTTTTTAAGAGCTAATTTTCTGCGAAGAAAAAAAGGGGAAAAAATAATTTTTCCGGGAAAATCAAAATTTTCTGGTGGAGCCTGAAAGCGACTGTCCTCGGATCGGACCTGCAACCAGGCCAAAATTACCTGCTTTTTTATCAGATCGAGACAAAGCTCTTGACTTTAGTGCAGTCATCGATCTGATCTAGGTAATGCGGCCGCCTGACTTGATGCTCCAATCTTGAAAATCGATTTTCCGGAAAAACTATTGTAGCAGAAAATTTATTTGTTGTGCAGAAAAAAAGCACGTAAAAAGCAGGTAATTTTGGCCTGGTTGCGAGTCCGATCCGAGGAAAGTCGCTTCCAGGCTTCATCAGAAAATTTTGATTTTCCCGGAAAAATCTTTTTTTCCCCTTTTTTTCTTCGCAGAAAATTAGCTCTTAAAAAGCTTTTGACTTTAGTGCAGTCATCGATCTGATCTAGGTAATGTGGCCGCCTGACTTGATGCTCCAATCATGAAAATCGATTTTCCGGAAAAACTATTGTAGCAGAAAATTTATTTTTTGTGCAGAAAAAAAGCACGTAAAAAGCAGGTAATTTTGGCCTGGTTGCGGATCCGATCCGAGGACAGTCGCTTCCAGGCTCCACCAGAAAATTTTGATTTTCCCGGAAAAAATTTTTTTCCCCTTTTTTTCTTCGCAGAAAACTAGCACTTAAAAAGCTCTTGACTTTAGTGCAGTCATCGATCTGATCTAGGTAATGTGGCCGCCTGACTTGATGCTCCAATCATGAAAATCGATTTTCCGGAAAAACTATTGTAGCAGAAAATTTATTTTTTGTGCAGAAAAAAAGCACGTAAAAAGCAGGTAATTTTGGCCTGGTTGCGGGTCCGAACCGAGTACTCTGGCCGGCCAACTTTACGGTGCTCTAATAGGGGGCATTCACATAAAATGTGGATGACGCCCTCCT